TTAAGAATACCCCACTTTCATCCAATCACCTCATGTATAAATTGACTCATATGGTTTTCCCTGCACTTTTTTTTCAGCCAATCGCTGGCCATGTTACAATGCGATACCCTGACCTAATAGAACGGCGAGTACAGTGTAGAATAATGCACGCTTCGGGCCTTCTTCGTTTATATAGAAATATTTCCGATAGTGTTAGAATATTCAATTAAGCACGGATTGATATGGAAATGCGACTAATATTTCATTACATACAGTCAGGAGAGTTTGTTATATATATATGTGCATTATATATCTAATAATGTGTATAATGCTATGAACATTATATATCTAATAATGTGTTTAATGCTATAAACTGGGAAATCAAATTTAGTAAGTATCTCTCTTCTGTACATATATACAGATGCAGAAAACAATTAAAACACAGCTTATAATTAAGTGAGATAACTCCATAGCGCATAATACCAAAGTGTATAAATGCACTGCAGATTTACCCCCCTTGTTTAGACATTATATCGTTTCAAATTTAGTACATTTTTAACATTAAACATAATATGCTTGCATGATGTTATAGGGTGATGAGTGAAAACTAACACTTTGCAGAAAATCATTAAAAATTCATTTAATTTACATATCGTAGTACAATGAAAACACAATTATTTGTAAGGTAACATGTAGTTAAATACTAGCATTTTCTATTACAGTGACATTGGGTTATTCTCAACCCAATACAAATACACAGATACCTGTCTATTATATTTAAACTATCATTTATGGTGTATCTGATTCTCTTGCTAAAACGGTTGCTCCTTTTTAACATAAATGTTGGCTTCAAGTTTATTTAAAGTTACAATGTTTATGTTAAGCAGTCTTATTAGTTATATTGAATTTAAAACATATTGACATGCTCTATGTTTAAATATGTTGTATCTTTATTATAGAAATGTAATATGTATTTTTTTGTCCCAGACTGTATGTGAAATAGGAGTGCAAATTGTATTTTTCTATTTATGCAAAAATAACATTTTGCAATAATACATGCTCCATCACTCATATCTGAAAATCTTAAGGTTTAGCTGTAAGATAATGTAGACGATAACTTGCATTGACTATAACCGCACATGGTCAGGTTTAATCAAACATACAAGGCAGCATATCCTTTTTGTCGTGTTAAGACATCTTCAATCAAAAAATGTCACGAACAGATAGCAAAACTTATTCTTTAACTTGATATGCTGAAAGACAATGGGTTTATCAAAATATCGTGTACAACGTTGGGGTATGGGGAAAAACATATTTTAGAAACCTATATCTCTACATAATTTGTTATGACCAATTGTATGTGTGATTTTACAAGATTTATATGCAAGAAGGGTTATAATCTGGATCACATTTGGTTCCAACAAGTTGTGATTGACAATTTCAGTGCACGCTAAACAAAATAGACGTCATGTAGAACACATGCTTAAATCAAAGGGCTGCAAGCTCTGTGGTATTTTCTGATCTTTGCAATCTAAATCATACTGACTATCTGTGTGTATTTTCCTATATAAGTTTATTTTTATATACTATAATTCATCTTACGCAGCGACTGCGTTAAGATTGTTTTTTCTATAACAGTTTGAGATTGATACATGACTAGAGTTGCATCAAAAATCATTTTTATGACAGCCACACTTTATATATCGTGGCTACTTCCTTACAAGACACTTCAAAAAAAAGTTGCCTCGACTAGGATTTGAACCTTAGGCCTCTCACACCCTAAACGAGCGCGATACGAGCGCGATACCCCTGCACCACGGTGAAGTAATACGTAATATGTATTTTTAAATGAATTTTTGGATTATAATGAAATTGCAAAGACAGTTGCAATGTCTGCCTCTAGAGCACTTGGTCTTGTTATATCCAAAAGTAAGGCATTTGGTGGTTTTCAGTACTCTACATTTACAAAACTTTATGATTCAATGGTATGGCCCATAATTAATTACAGTGCCCCGATTTGGGGTGATAAATCCTACTCGTGCATTAATGCAGTTCATCATAGGGCAATTCGTTACTACTTGGGTTTTGGAAGATACACTCCGAATGTGGCTGTAAGTGGAGAGATGGGTTGGAAACCACCAATTGTTATACAGTGGGACTGTCTGTATTTAGACAGTATTTTAGAGTTATGAATATGGATGATAATAGAATTAATAAGTCTGTATATATGTGGTCTAAAGCAAGTAATGTCAAGAATGGTTTTTACCGACTTAAGAAACTTTTAAAAGATATTAATAGTAATCACATACTAGAGGCTAATATCGGAAATGCCAAACCTACCATATCAATGCTAGAATCTAAACTTATGGAAATAGAAACAAATAAATGGAAGTTATTACTTGAGAGAGAAAATGCCATTAGAGGAAATGGCGGGAATAAATTAAGGACTTAAGGAAGTTTAAATCTCAGTTCTGCACTGAAAAGTACCTTATGTCTAAGTTGCCATTTATGTATAGATCAGCCTTTACAAAATTCAGATGTGGTGTAGCACCACTAAGAATAGAAACAGGTCGTTATGAAAATATTGATGTAATGAATAGAAAATGCTTTAACTGTCCGGACACTATAGAAGATGAGAAACATGTATTACTGTACTGTCCATTACATAATGATATAAGGAAAGAGTTGGTCTCTGCGTTAGATGATGTATTAAGAAATAGAGATATTATATCTGATGATGACAAAATGGTTACAATGTTTAGTAGTGAAAACCTAGTATATTTATCTGCCAAAGCCTGCCACCATATTCTGTTTGAGAGAAAAAGAAAATTGTACTGTAAATCATGATTCTTTTATATGTTTTTATGGAGTATCGTTTTAAATAATGTAATAATGTAAATAATGGTTAGTAACATTTTAGATTGTTTTTATGGTTTTTACAAATATATTCAAGAAGTAGGTTCCAACAAGTAGACGTGATAAAAATTCCTGATTTAAGATTTTTGTATTTTTTATATTGATATAGGATATCGCTCTAATGCGCAATATTGAGCTTTGCCATGAGTATTTGGTTGGAGGCTGCTTCTTGAATTGAACCATTGTAACAGATATAGTTGTATTAACATACAAATAGGTCTTATGATACTATAGGACTGCAAAGTCTAGTCATGAATAAATCACACTTTCTTGTTTATTGCTTTACACCCAATCTTATTACTATTTAGGTAAAACACACATACATATTATATCAAGGGTATAGTGTTTGGATGAACATTCGGATGTGTGTAGGATCTGCATATATCTGGGCGTTTCTCGGAACACTGTAAACTTGTACACTGCTGTAACATTCAAATCTTACAACCAGCAATAACAACACAAACTACACAGAATTTCAAATAAATTAAATACAGTCTGGTTGTCTCAACTCTTCACATTATTTTTTTTTTAAAAAAAGAAGAAAAAATACTTGGTTTTATTTTTAAGTAACTTTGTAGATATGTCCAGTATGTTAGATTTGTTGTAAAGTTATGTATAGTCTCTTATAACTCATCTATGAGTGGCATTTATGTACAATGTCGTAGGTTTTATATTTGTATTATTTTAATATTGTACATGATGATGAGACTTTAATAAACTATCTTATCTTATCTTATCTTATCTTATGTAGCCTGAATAAAAACAAATACATTGTAATTCTAAATTTCATGTTTGTAATCCTTATCAATTTCGAGGTATTTTGTTCACGATAAACAGTCCGACATGTATATATTCCACTACTCGGCAGTGAGATTTATTTGTGTACTACGTCCTGGAGTATTCAGTAATCGACATAGCTAAAAATAGCATTTTCATTGATTAAAATGATATTCATCCGCGAAATTTGTGATTGTAACCTCATATTTCTATTGACTAATCTGAACTTTCAATGCACTGTAATTCGTTAAATGCCTACATTAAAAATTATTCTGTCTTTTAAATTGCTGGTTTTTAAGCAGTTTTGAGTGAGAACTACTTTGCGTTGTTAGGTCTGTTAGGAATTTTTGTGTAAGACCGTGGATGTTAGCTATGTATTTACTGATCTTGCGATCAGAAAATACAAAAACATATCATCTTAAAAAGCCTTAACATTTACTGTTATTGACAATATGTCTGGCAATCATAATCCATATAAAATGCCCTCTAATGTACAAATATAGCCAGATTCGAGTAGACAATCTGTAATTTCGGTTTCTACAATCATAATAATAAATGTATAAATTATAATGTATTATTTACTTTTCATGTCTATAAATTTACTTAATTTAGGCGGACTTTAACTCAATTTATTGGAATAAATTAAGAAAAAAAAACCTAACATTAAATTACTATTTTTTTGCATGTTTAGTTTCTTATTGTTATTATTGTAATAACTTATATGAAATAAAGAAGTAAAGGGACTTTTGACAGTTTTAACAGTCAACCCTCGAAATCTGTTTTATTCGTAGAAATTAAATTATAATTTTAGAAATACAAGGATAAAAAGCTCTAGTAAAACGCTTATTTAATACTTTATTATAATAACGTTTACCGAAACAAGGCCATGCAGCTCTCTTTGAATATCTCTGTCCTAACACACACAAATCATTCAGGGTCTACAGTTATATTTACTACACCATCTCTGTGAAAAAATGTTATAGATAAATAAAACAACCACATTTGGAGATTTTGAGTATCTTTATTTTTTCGCAATGTAAAAATGTAAATTATAAGAAACCTATATTACAATAGTCAGAAAACTATCGCAATTACTTACATGGAAAGCACAAATAGTATTTATTATTTAAATTATATGCTGAAAGATAGTGTTTTATTTAATCATATATAATATACTAAATATACAACATTGAGATAGTGAAAAACATAAATCAGAAATCAATATCTCTATATAACTTGTTATGACCAATTGTATGTGCTATTTGACTAAGTGTTGTCCTAAATGTATACCAAGCACCACATCCACAAACTGTATCAGTCTGGTGACAAGGATTGTTTCTACGCTGTTCATCTATTTCTATATCTGACATCAAAGTTTTAATCTCACTATCGTCTTTTTGTGAAGAAATACCATCATTAGCTATATCTTCAATATTGCACGTAGTGTTTAATGTTGTAAAGCTGCATGAAGCATCTTCAGACACTTCACTAATTATTTCATTAGTATTTGAGGTACAAACTTCATCTTGAGAATTCTGGTGTCCATCGTCAGTTTGTTCAGGATCTGGTTTATATTGTTCGACTTCTGTCATGTCAGTCTCTTGTTCATTGCTATCTGCCATAATCTCATCTTCATCACTGGCGCATTTATGTATCAAAAGAACACAATCTCCATCTATATTAACAAGTTCAATATCACAATTATCGCTTTCATCATCATCAACCTTATCACCTGCCTCTTGGCAACCTATAGCTCCTTCCATTGTTATCTCATTAACTTCGTCAGTATTCTCCATTACTTGTTTATTCTTTTTTTCTATTGCATCATTCAAAGAACCTTTGTTCGCTAAATTATCAGCAGATCCATTTGCATTTCCGCTATAGTTTTCAGATATATGCTCATCTTCAGAACTTTCAACATTATCGGTGTGTTTCATGTCATTTGTGGGAATGACGTCATCTTTATTTATACTCTGTGAATCATCTACTATTACGCCTGAGGTTTCGGGCTTTGTTTCTGATAGAGCAGAGTTCACAGTTTCCTCAATCAAAATACCATCAATCACTTTAAAATCTTTGTCAAATGCCATATCGTCAAACGCTTCCCCTGCCATATACTTTTTTACATTGTCTTCGAAATTTTCTTCGTCATCGTTTCCTTCAAAATAAGGTGAGAGAGGATCCTCTAAATTTGGATTGTGCATGACATACAGTAAACCAAGAATTGTACCTTCCAGACCGAAAGAACTGCTCCATGTACCGTCCTCCAGGATATTTAAGCAGACATTTGTGCTTTCGTCGGTGACGTTGTCGTCCCAAGTATCAATATTCGGATGATATATCTCAGTAATACAACATACAACTGGAGGTACTGCTGGGTATTTGTCTGGTATTCCGATCTGCAATATAAAAAGTTTGTTTTAAGCGAAATTTTAAGGTCTGATGTAACTGATATTGAGACAATCTATTCCTTGCAGAGCATTTTGTTTAATATCTAAACTCCCACAAATTAACCTTAAAAATGGTTATTCATCTAACGGTTGTAATCATTAATATACTGAACTAAAATTCTTACAGTTTTTTGCAAAAGAATGTTTTATGATGCCTTTTTGTTTTCATGACCAATGTATCTATCAATAAACAGGTTGAATTTCCTCAGTATAGGAACGGATGATATTTTTTCGTAAAAGTAATTGAGAATGAATGAGAAATGTCAATAAAACTCTACTTACCCTGAATTGAAATTTTCCACTTTTGTATAAGCCATTGTTAGGTACTATAGTCACATATATATAGAACTTCGCCAAATTTCCGTCATCCCAATCTATACCTGAAATTGATGCCTGTCCATCTGTAAGTTTTCTGACTCGTTTTAGGAGCCGATGAAATTCTTTAGTTACAGACATATCGCAGCCTGATTTGTGATCTATATTTATTATATAATAACGATATTAATTAAGCCCTATTTATCATATCTGTCCCCATCAGTTTGAAGACACTGGTCTGCAACTTTCAGTTTCCTATAAAAGAATTCGTTATTAAGTTCAACAGTAATGCTTAAATATAGACCGTCATTTTCGTTTATATAGAAACTGTTGTGAAATGTTTACGTTTTGCAAGCATTGACATGCGCGAATAATGATACCACGATGGTATAAAACATGTGGTATTGAAAACTACAAATTCACAAACGCAGTCTACATCTATTTTTAGACTTTCTATTTTAAGATTTATGACGGTATTTTCCCAATAGCTGTAAATATCTCATTTCTATTTTTAAGAAATTCGTCAGAGAAGGGAGGTAATCTCACGAAAATTTTAATAAATCGGGGAAAATTACCTGATCATGGAACTGCAATAAAGTGAAATTTAAATCACATGTACATTTGTTGTATTTTAATCTCCTTTTAGATTATAAAAGCATGTACATTTGTTTGTTACATTTATAATCTCCTTTGTATGGGGTATGATTTTTTGTTGAAATTACTTTATGACATCGGAGAAACTGCTTGTCCGGGAACATAAAAAAGCGAGAGCGATTACTTAAAACGTCTGATAGGAAAAATATTTTAAGTATGTAAAGTCTTTTGGAGGAGTATATATAATCTTTTATTCCACTTTTCAGTGACTGATATAACAATTAATTAACACATTTACATGAGAACATAACATAATATCATACGATTACTAATTATATACACGAAAAGCATGTCATACACAATGTCATACATTAAATATAGAGATACAATATATAGAATTATAACAACCTGCATACACAATGTTAGCTTATTAATAAGCACATGATATAGTGTCAATGTTCGACATAATGGTATTTACTGAGTATTTTTTTTTATGCACTTTTACTAAATATTTTCCCGATAACATTTATAACTTATCGAAAACACGAAATATAAGTGTCATGTAAAGGAACATTTAGTATGGATTTATTATATTGCATTTAACCTTAGAAGTCTAAGATAAACATCCTCTCATGGAGAATGTTATTAGAATGTTCTAGAGGTTACTTTTTATATTCCATTGTTAGGTCGTGAACGTATTTACAACATAGGTTGGTGAAGCCTTTTTGGAGTTCTGGATTAATACCAAAGACAGCCAATAAATTGGAATCAAAGAGTCCTCGCAAGAATGCTTCCGAGTTAATTCTAAGAAAATAGCTGCAAACTTCAGAGCTAAATTTCTGATCAATTGAATCTGTAAAGCGTGTCCGTTCACGTGTATATGTATCACATTCAGCTAAGATATGTCTGTTTATATCACTAGTTTCTTGTAGACATTTTGTACAGGAATAACTTGTATAAAACTGTCGATATAGAAGTATTTTCGTTGCACTTATAGCATGTTTAATCTCACTGTTTGTATTTGAAAACAGCCATAAATGTAAAGGCGTTACCGATTGATGAACTGCTATAAATCTGTCAAAATCTCTATCACTGTTAATTCTTTGTTGCCACGTGTTGTTTTGTGTATGTGTAATTGCCTTTTTAATAGTATTTTTCCACGAGTATTTGCATGGAAAATGTGCATGCTTCATGTAGTCAGAAATGAAATGGAATAATCCGTATTTGTACAATAGTCTGCATATTTCGGGAACAAAGCCGCGTTGGTTACAATAACCTTTCATAACAAATAAGTTAAGTCTGTAATTAAACAGTTTTCTTGACAGATAGTGTGTTGGTATAGTACACAGTTTTTGTAGGAAAGTTAGCTTTCTCTGGTCTATGGCAGCTTCAATAGTAAACCATCCCAGTGTGCTCAGAGCCATGTCCGTTCTAGTTGACTGTGGGAGATGTTGTATTTGTTTCGCTGCCAATCGTTCAAATCGTTGGATCTTTACAATGTCAGTATTTGAAATGTTATGCCATAGTTCAGCCCCATAGAGAAAGGTTGAAAATGATACTTTTTTACTAATGATGCTAGGGTCAGTGGATTTATATAACCAACATTGTTTTCTAGGGATAATATAACTTGGAAATAAAATTTAGTAAGAGTAAGTATATCTCTTCTGCACATAAATGAATATGATAAAGTGAGATAACTCCATAGCGCATAGTACTAAAGTGTATAAATGCACTGCAGATTTACCCCCCTTGTTTATACATTATATCTACAACATTTACAAGTTAACCAAATTGGCCCAACTACTATCGTGCTGAAAATAATCTTCAAATTTAATATTTTTTCAACATTAAACATAATATGCTTGCATGGTGTTATAGGGCAATAAGAGAAAATTAACACTTTCCAGACAATCATTAAAAATTCATTAAATTTAGCTATCGTAGTACAAATAAAACATAATTAATTGGTGGTAGTGGTAGTTTTCACTGCGGATCACGGCAGTAAGTCACATTGAATTTACCAGAACCTCATGGTTCCAAGGTAGGCTGTCAAGCAGTTGCCTTCACTTTCGCAAGAAACTGAAACTTCTGTGCATACCAGAAAAAAGGTACAGTGCGAATGACCGTAGAAAAGATTTCATGATCAATCACAACGAAAGTGACCTGCGCCCCAAGCTCTACCTATTTAGCATGGTTGTATGTCGTTTTGAAATACTCGCATTTTCTACTACAGTGACATGGTTTACCCCCTTACATTGGCCCAATTACTACAGTGATGAAAGTAATCTTCAAATTTAGTAAATTATCAACATGAAACATAATTTGCTTGCATGGTGTGATAAGTGAAAACTTTCCAGAAAATCATTAAAAATTCATTTAATTTAGATATGGTTGTACAAAAAACACAATTATTTGTAAGGTTGCATGTGGTTAAATACTCGCATTTTCTATTACAGTGACATTGGGTTATTGTCAGCTCAATACGAATACACAGGTGCCTAACTATTATTTATGGTCTATCTGATTCTCTTGGTAAAATGGTTGCTTCTTTTTAACATACATGTTGGCTTCAATTTTATTTAAAGTTGCCATGTTTATGTTAAGCAGTCTTATTAGTAACATTGAATTTAAAACATATGGACATGCTCTATGTTTAAATATTTTGTATCTTTATTATAGAAATGTTATGTGTATTTTTATCTCAGACTGTATGTGGAAGTGTATTTCTCTATTTATGCAAAAATAACATTTTGCTTAATACATGCATTAACACTCATATATGAAAATCTAAGCTGTAAGGGAATATGGACGATAACTTGCATTGACCATAAACGCACATGGTCAGGTTTAATCAAACATACAAGGGGCAACATATCCTTTTTGTCGTGTTCAGACATCTTCAATCAAAAAAAGTCACAAACAGATAGCAAGACTTATTCTTTAACTTGATATGCTGAAAGACAATGGGTTTATCAAAATATCGTGTACAACGTTGGGGTATGGGGAAGAAACATATTTTAGAAACCTATATCTCTACATAATTTGTTATGACCAATGGTATGTGTGATTTTACAAGATTTATATGCAAGAAGGGTAATAATCTGGATCACATTTGGTTCCAACAAGTTGTGATTGACAATTTCAATGCACGCTAAACAAAATAGACGTCATGTAGAACACATGCTTAAAAAACAAACATGCTATTCACAGCGTGCGTAATATTTTTCAGTAATTATATGTACACTACATTAAATTTATTATGTTACCTTTCCTGTAATGTAACTTTCATATAAATACTGATTGAACAAATATGTATAATAAACGTTTATAATGGTAACAGATACCATGGGGCACCCTGTACCATCTTAAAACGCCCTTACATTTACTGTTATTGACAATATGTCTGGCAATCATAATCCATATAAAATGCCCTCGAATGTACAAATATAACCAAATCCGAGTAGACAATCTGCACTTTTGGTTTCTACAATAATAATAATAAATGTATGATAATGTTTTATTTACTTTTTATGTCTATAAATTTACTTAATTTATGTGGACTTTAACTCATTATAATTATTGGAATAAATAAAGTAAAAAAATCCTAGCATTAAATTACTTTTTTTTGCATGTTTAGTTTCTTATTGGTATTATTACATTAACTTATATGAAATAAAGAAGTAAAGGGGCTTTTGACAGTTTTAACAGTCAACCCTCGAAATATGTTTTATTCTATAATTTGAGAAATACTAGTACAAGGATAAAAAGCTCAAGAAAACGCATATCTAATACTTTATTATTATAACGTTTACCGAAACAAGGCCATGCAGCTTTCTTCAAATATCTTTCTCCTAACACCCACATATCATTCAGGGTCAACAGTTATATTTACTACACCATCTCTGTGAAAAAATGTTACAGATAAATAAAACAAATGCACTTGGATATTCTGAGTATCTTTATTATTCGCAATGCAAAAATGTAAATTATAAGAAACCTATATAACAATAGTCGGCAATCTATCACAATAATTTACACGGAAAGCACAAATATTATTTATTATTTAATATTATATGCTGAAAGACAGTGTTTTATTTAATTATATATAATATACTTAAATATACAACATTGAGGTAGTGAAAAACATAAATCAAAAATTAATATCTCTATATAACTTGTTATGACCAATTGTATGTGCTATTTTACTAAGTGTTGTCCTAAATGTATACCAAGCACCACATCCACAAACTGTATCAGTCTGGTGACTAGGATTGTTTCTACGCTGTTTATCTATTTCTATATCTGACATCAAAGTTTTAATCTCGCTATCGTCTGTTTGTGAAGAAATACCATCATTAGCTATATCTTCAATATTGCACGTAGTGTTTAATGTTGTAAAGCTGCATGAAGCATCTTCACACACTTCACTAATTATTTCATTAGTATTTGAGGTACAAACTTCATCCTGAGAATTCCGGTGTCCGTCGTCAGTTTGTTCAGGATCTGGTTTATATTGTTCGACTTCTGTCATGTTTTCAGTCTCTTGTTCATCTGCCATATTCTCATCTACATCACTGGCGGATTTATGTATAAAAAAAACACAATCTCCATCTATATTAACAAGTTCAATGTCACATTTATCGCTTTCATCATCATCAACCTTATCAACTGCCTCTTGGCAACCTATAGCTCCTTCCATTGTTATCTCATTAACTTCGTCAGTATTGTCCATTACTTGTTTATTCTTTTTTTCTATTGCATCATTCAAAGAACCTTTGTTCGCTAAATTATCAGCAGATCCATTTGCATTGCCGCTATAGTTTTCAGATAAATGCTCATCTTCAGAATTTTCACCATTATCTGTGTGTTTTATGTCATTTGTGGGAACGTCATCTTTATTTATACTCTGTGAATCATCTTCTATTATGCTTGATGCTTCGCTCTTTGTTTCTGATAGAACAGAGTTCACAGTTTCCTCAATCAAAATACCATCAATCACTTTAAAATCTTTGTCAAATAAAACATCGCCAAATAACTTTTCCCCTGCCATATACTTTTTAACATTTTCCCGGAAACATTCATCGTCGTCGTTTCCTTCAAAATGAGATGAGAGAGGATCTTCTAAATTTGGATTGTGCATGAGAAATAGTAAACCAAGAATTGTACCTTCCAGACCGAAAGAACTGCTCCATGTACCGGACTCCAGGACATTTAAGCAGACATTTGTGCCTTCGTCGCTGACGTCGATGTCCCGAGTATCAATATTCGGATGGTATATCTCAGTATTACACCATACAACTGGAGGTATTGCTGGGTATTCGTCTGGTATTCCGATCTGCAATAGATAAAGTTTGTTTTAAGCGAAATTTTAAGGTCTGATGTAACTGATATTGAGACAATCTATTCCTTTGCAGAGCATTTTGTTTAATACTTAAACCCAAAAATTAACCTTTCATATAGTTATTCATCTAACGGTTGTGGGCTGAACTTTTGTTCTTACTTAATTATTGTAACAAAAGAATGTTTTATGTGCTTGCATGTAAACATGACACTATATATCTATCAATGATTTAACTTCCTTTTCTTTAATGCCGAAACAGGCCGAATTTCCTCAGTATAGGAATGCATGATATTTTTTTCGTGAAACTATATTAATTAATGTTTCATTGAGTATGAAATGCAAAATGTCAATAAAAGTCTGCTTACCCTGAATTTAAATTTTCCACTTTTGTATAAGCCATTGTTAGGTATTATAGTCACATAGAACTTGCTCAAATTTCCGTCATCCCAATCTATATCTGAAATTGATGCCTGTCCATCTGTAAGTTTTCTGACTCGTTTAAGGAGCCGATGAAATTCTTTAGTTACAGACATATCGCAGCCTATTATAATAAGCCGTATTTATATTATCTGCCCCCATCAGTTTGAAGAAACTGGTCTGCAACTTTCAGTTTCCTGTTAGTTCAACATATAGACCGTCAAATTCGTTTATATACGAAACTGTTGTGAAATCTTTACGTTTTGCAAGCATTGACATGCGCGAATAATAATGGAATAATGATACCACGATGGTATAAAACATGTGGTATTGTAAGCTACAAATTCACAAACGCAGTCTACATCTATTTTTAGACTTTCTATTTTAAGATTTATGACGGTATTTTCCAATTAGCTGTAAATATCTCATTTCTATTTTTAAGAAATCCGTCATCAAATGAGAAGGGAGATAATCATTATTACCTGATCATTGAACTGCAATAAAGTGAAATTCAAATCACATGTACATTTGTTGTATTTTAATCTCCTTTTAGATTATAAAAGCATATACATTTGTTTGTTACGTTTATAATATCCTGTGTATGGGGTATGATTTTTTGTTGAAATTACTTTAACATACTGTAGTATGACATCGGAGAAACTGCTTGTCCGGGAACATAAAAAAGCGAGAGCGATTACTTAAAACGTCTGATAGGAAAAATATTTTAAGTATGTAAAGTCTTTTGGAGGAGTAAATCATAATGGACATAATATATATATAAAAGTAATAAAAGACATGGCCTTTCATAAAATCTATCATATTAGATCATATTAACCGGACAAAATTCTGACTGATATGAAAATTACATTGCATGAACGCCGTTATGTTAAAATTAAGCAGTTAAGCACGGGTTAATATGGAAATGCGACTACTATTTCTTTACATATAGTCTGGAGAGTTTGTTACATATATATAGCTTATGATTAACCCTATCTAATAATGTGTATAATGCTATAAACTGGGAAATAAAATTTAGTAAGAGTAAGTATATCTCTTCTGCACATAAATGAATATGATAAAGTGAGATAACTCCATAGCGCATAGTACTAAAGTGTATAAATGCACTGCAGATTTACCCCCCTTGTTTATACATTATATCTACAACATTTACAAGTAAACCACATTAGCCAAACTACTATAGTGATAAAAGTAATCTTCAAAATTAGTAAATTTTCAACATGAAACATAATTTGCTTTCATGGTATTATAGGGTGATAAGAGAAAACTAACACTTTCCAGAAAATCATTATATTAAATTCATTAAATTTAGTTATCGTAGTACAAAGAAAACATAATTGATTGGTGGTGATGGTAGTTTTTACTGCGGATCACGGCAGTAAGTCACATTGAATTTACCAGAACCTCATGGTTCCTAGGTAGGCTGTCAAGCAGTTGCCTTCACTTTCGCAAGAAACTGAAACTTCTGTGCATACCAGAGCAGAGGTACAGTGCGAATGACCGTAGAAAAGATTTCATGATCAATCACAACGAAAGTGACCTGCGCCCCAAGCTCTACCTATTTAGCATGGTTGTATGTCGTTTTGAAATACTCGCATTTTCTACTACAGTGACATTGGTTTACCCCCTTACATTGGCCCAAATACTATAGTGATGAAAATAATCATCAAATTTAGTAAATTTTCAACATGAAACATAATTTGCTTACATGGTGTGATAAGTGAAAACACTTTCCAGAAAATCATTAAAAATACATTTAATTTATATATCGTAGTACAAAGAAAACACAATTATTTGAAAGGTTGCATGTGGTTAAATACTCGCATTATCTAAATTACATTTGGTTATTCTTAACTCAATACGAATACACAGATAGCTGTATATCATATATAAACTATCATTTATGGTGTATCTGATTCTCTTGGTAAAACGGTTGCTCCTTTTTAACATACATGTTTGCTTCAAGTTTATTTAAAGTTACAATGTTTATGTTAAGCAGTCTTATTAGTTATATTGAATTTAAAACATAAAGACATGTTCTATGTTTAAATATTTTGTATCTTTATTATAGAAATGTATATGTATTTTTTTTTATCTCAGACTGTATGTGAAATAGGAGTGCAAATTGTATTTTTCTATTTATGCAAAAATAACATTTTGCAATAATACATGCTCCATCACTCATATCTGAAAATCTTAAGGTTTAGCTGTAAGAGAATGTAGACGATAACTTGCATTGACTATAACCGCACATGGTCAGGTTTAATCAAACATACAAGGCAACATATCCTTTTTGTCGTGTTAAGGCATCTTCAATTGATCCCATTTTAATATTTCTTGTTATTCTATAAATTAGATTTAAGAAAGAATATGTCCGGCAAATTAAGAGTTTTTCCATTTGAATTTGAGATTTTCTTCTTAAGTTAATTATTTGATCGGACATGCAAGATCTCACTACAAAGATTTAACAACATGTACAAAGAATGTCCTAAATTGTGTGTGATAGTTACATAACCATCTTATCAGATATGAACAGTCCAACCAACAATCTTCAGTGGAAGTGACAATAAACATGTCGTTCGTTCTCTTTTTCTTAATCCTCGGTGTGGCATCTTCAGCCTTATGTATTGAAGTAACAGACGATATTATCGAGAGACTAGCTCATATTGAAGCTACGGAAGGAGAATACAGCGTTAACCCTTTACCACATATATACGCGAAACAACGCACTTTCGACCCCCCCCCTTTTTAAGGCCTCAAATAGTGAAAAAATGTCCTATTTGGACCCCAAACATAAGTTTTCGTTTGAGAAATGTTGCTTAAAAAATTGAGCACTTTTTCGGCGCCGCCCCCCATCCAAAAGATACATCAGGGGGTTGCCAGAAGGGGGATGTGCCCCCTTCTGTTAGGGGGGTTTGAAGGGGGCGTAGTCCCCCTCATCGCCAAGAAAATTTTGGACTTGTGAGAGGGTAAAAATTACCCCAGGTCGATCATAATGTAACGTTTAACCAACGCTGAAAAGCCTTTGACTCTATCTCAATCCCTTGAACAGTTGCAGCACTTTGAAATAAATTTTGATGGAAAAAATCGAGGCAAAATAGTGATTTTTGGCAATTTTGAGATGTCCCCTCGTTGCCATGGTAACAGGAAATTAAAGACTGAGCATGTAGTTACAAAGGCAATGGTCCAGTCAACATTTGTGCCAAGTTTGATTAGTATTGAAGCATTTTTCATAGTTTCATAGGAGTTTGAACTTGTAACAGGAGGCTTTTCAGTGAAAACGGCCATTTTTCACAATATGCTCATGGGGGAAAGGGTTAAAGAACAAGATGGTTTACGAAGCTACTATTTCGGTGCAGAGGAATGTCTCATGTTTCGTTCTTTCGTCTCGTCTTCTTTTCACTTTCTAATATGATAATGAATAAAAGAATAGTAATTTTGAATTGAAAAAAAAAAACAGTTGAAAAAAATAATGTCAATCTGACTTAAGTTAAATCTACTTATTTCTTTTATGAAGATCTGATGACGACCTATATGTTTCGCAATCCATTTTTAGCCATGAAATCAAACCGGTTTTTACTTAGGCTTTAGAAGAAGTATCAAAATACCGTTATCCGTGACAGTGAACCAAATTGTTGATATTTTTTGGAAAACAAGTTTGAAGTAATTTTTAACAAATGAACTTGATAGAAATAGAGTCAATTTTTAATAGGCAAGATTGTTTCGCCGGTTGACCTGTCTGCTTTATGGACAACGCCATGTTTGTTCTCGAATGAATCTACTCAGTATTGGTTTTCCCAGGGTTAAAATTGGAAACCACATCGCTTTTCAAGCCAAAGATTTGCTGTGTGATAGGTCAACAGACATTACTCCGTATTTTGGTTACGGTCAAATCTAATAGCGGAGCGTTATTTAGAGCTGATTTTAATTAGATTGGGAGAAAATGGCATTTTAGACTTTGATATCATTTTATTGAATTTAACTAATCATTATTCACACTCACTGTAATATCGTTAATATGCAAAAACTAATTTCTCACATGTTATATGTAATAGTTATTTTAATGATAGACCTTCTGTTTTCCAGAAGTCCGAGACGCCCTTGAAACAGAGGTCGCTTTCTATGCAACGCATTCAAAACATTACATTCTACACATGAGTGAATATCAAATCAACGTTTTCGACCAGGTCGTGACAAATATTGGCAATGCGTACATAGCGCGTTCACGGCTCACGTTGACGGAACGTACATTTTTCACGTTACACTATTGGGCACCCTGGGTGACTCTATTCATTATCAGTACCATACTTACATTGATGTACATGGCGTAGCTTTTTTGATGTTCTTGATCGCCCCTGGTGACCAATCATCACATATGTTTGTAAAAGAGCTGAAAGCTGGTAGCGATGTGTCAGTGAAGAATGTTGTAGTTAACGCTGGCATCGTTGACAACACTTCTCGCCATTCTCCGGATTTTACTGTATCAGCATAGTAACGCCCCTGCCATCGTTGGGAGATAAGATAATTTCTATTTCTATTTGTATTCAATCTAACAAAATAAATTTCAATTTTAATTACAATTTATGGTTTTGAACTTGTATATAGTTATACTGTGAAATAAGCTGGTTTATTTCTCATATAAACGTATAATAGGCAACATGCGCACTGTATATAAAATAGCTGCAGAAAAATCACTTCGCTAGATCAATCTGAAGTGATCAAACTTTTGACTCAAACGTACCCTATAGAAATAATACGATTACCTGTTAGAATTATTATTCACTAACACAACAAGCATGTAATCAAGTAATTGTTTTTTACATTACTGAACCCTATTATTTTATAATTTCGTGTGGAAATAGTCTCGTATGATTTAAATTTCATAGCTATTACAGTAAAATAACATGAACATTATAAATTTGCTGATTGTAATTGTTTTTCAAAGCGAAAAATTGAATTAAACATCTGTTTTATTTATGTAGTGAGTGTTTAAATATCAAAAATGTGAAACTGATAAATTTAGTTTGATGTTTGCCTTCTTTTTAAGACTTAGATCTTGATTGACTGTTAATCCACACCAAAACATAAGATAATTTGATACATGGATAACTTATATATGCTGTTTGATATTGGTAACGCTAAGACGTTAAATTATTCATATGATCCGTTGTTGTAAAATTAACTGCCATTAGTTTTGTTGATGGGCTAATATTTTAGTGTCCTTTTTAAATATCTTTATTCCTCACAAGAATTGTCATTAAACAAGTTGACGTTGAATTAACTTTGATACATGAATAACTTATATGCTGTTTGATATTGGTAACGCGAAGACGTTAAAATATTCGTATGATCCGTTGTTGTAAACTTAACTGCCATTATTTTGTTGATGGGCTCAGTTTTTATTGTCCTTTTTAAATATCTTTATTCCTCACAAGAATTGTCATTAAACAATTTGACGTTGAATTAATTTTATACTTTTTAAGTCTATATGTCATATATACTATCTTGGACAATATGATTTGAATATTAGTTTTAAGTTAAGAAGCGATTTGGGATCATTTAACATAAACAATTTTATCACACACCCGTGCCGATTTTGTGACTCCGTAAATATGGTTTTGCACGGCAATGCATATATTTTGACGAAACGTCATTAGCGTTATACAAACATAGTGTAAAGACGCGCTAAATTTTAGCGTAATACTATTGACGCGTCAATGAAAAATGACTCTTATTTCGCTTTAAACGGTCTTTATTTTGGGTATGTGATAAAAAGAATATTAAATTCGTGTAAGTTCATTACTGAATTTATTGCACTCGTTGAATAAAATAATATTATGCTCGCCAGAGGCTCGCATAATATGATTTTATTCAACTCGTGCAACTGAATTTATTGCACTCGCTGAATAAAATAATATTATGCTCGCCAGAGGCTCGCATAATATGATTTTATTCAACTCGTGCAATAAATTCAGTATTGAACTTATACTCATTCAATATTCTCCATGTATCTTGTAAATTTGCTTTATTGCAAATATTTGGCGGTTTAAATGTTTTGGTTATTCATATAAGCAATTAAAATTATGTCTTCTTTTTTTGTTTGATTTTACGGCGCACCAAAACAGTATAGGTCAAATAGCGACTTCCAATTTTTACCTCAGTCACTCTTTGCATTATTTCAAGAGCCGGAGGCGCTGTCGCAGTTCATATCTACAGCGGTGAGAGGCAAGAGGTTTGAAGTCAACGACCTTTACCCTAGGCCAAGGACGCCCCTATTGTCTGTAAAATCAAATGCAATATAAACTTTTACAAAACACCGTCAGAGTTTCTATAGCTGCTTTCGTATCGTAGCATGACAGTACTATGTGTGCTAATAATATAAGCATGATTAAGAAATCTGACATTTTTCCTAAAATAATCAAGCAGGATATTTTATTATGATACCACACACACATTTCGACTCAATGTTTAATAGTATCTTGCATTTACTCCTGCAGTCTTATTTTACTTTATTTATTTTCTATATTTATTCAGTTTCTGGATATAACCAGAAATGTTCAGCTCAACATAATTTTATGTTTAAAAAAAATCTTAGATCATTTATATTGTGCATGACTTCAACAGTACTGAACCAAAAGAAGAAATGTGTAACAATATATATGTGATGAAAGATAAGCTGTGTGTTATCTATACAAATTGTACAACTTTCAGTCTTCATTTGAAACTACAACAGTATGGGTTTCGTTAAAGTCTTCTTAATCCTCGGCCTGGCAACATCAGCCTTCTGTTTTGAGGTAACAGACGATATCATCGAGAGACTAGCTCGTCTTGAAGCTACGGAAAGAGAACACAAGCAAGAAATTGCAGCGTTAAAGGGACAGATGGCAGCAATGGAAGGCAATTTTCTTAAAAGAGAAAATGAGATGCTGCTGAAGATGAACGAAATAAGGGGCAAGTGCGAAGAATATGGTGAAGAAACAGAATCTGAGCATTATCCTGACAACAAACCATTGAAATTGAGGTCATTTACAGGTATTATTACTTTCTTCTCATTATATATTCTTCTATATTCAATACTATTGTAACGTATTCAAAATGCCCTGTCAAGTGCCTAATTAAGCAGCATACTATAGAATTTTGTCAAACGATAAAACATAAAACAAACAATAACAACTTGAAGGAAAATATTATTTTAAACTTTACGTACATGAAGAAAAGGCATTTTATATGTTGAACAAAAGTTTTTTAGAGAAGAAGAACTGGCTTGAATCGATTTTTGACTTTATTCATTACTAGAACTTTATCCAAATAAATAATTTGTAAAACTCGAACAGAGAAAGAAAAACAAATGTCGTTGATAATTTATGATATATATGAGTTTGAAATCAAAGATTCAATATGGTTAATAATAAATCTCGAACCAGTTCTTGTTAAAATAAATCATTTTAGTCTGCTCGGTTTGCTATATAATTCCAATAAAACAATGTTAAAAAAGTACCGTTAGAAACACAAAAGAAACTGGTTTAAATGATTTAAATGTAATCACGTTATTAACAATCATGTAATAGATATATTTATGCTAAAATCCCTGCATGGCATCTTCCTTATTGTGTTTCCCTATAAATAGAATGAAAAAATGACATTTTCAAAAGTTTGATGTCTTTTTCTGCAAAGGTAAATATTCTGTAGAACACAGTTATCTTAAATAGTCATGTAGTATTCTTTGTAAAAACGACTTTCTTTTTAAGGAGTCCGTGACGTGGTTGAAAAAGAGGTTGCCTTCTATGCAAGACTCTCAGAAAATATCGTTACAAATTTGGGCCGTAATCAAATCATCGCCTTCAACCAGACCGTGACAAATATTGGCAATGCGTACAACGGCGTGTTCACGGCTCCCGTTGATGGAACATATGTTTTCCACGTTACATTAATGGGGTTACTTCTTAATGCTACAGACACCCACTACTCTGCCTTCATTGACGTCGATGGCGTAGCTTATTCGATGTTCTGGATACCCAAATATGCACAGTTATCGCGTATGCTTATAATTGAACTGAAATCCGGCAATGTTGTGTCAGTAAAGAATGACCGTATTGACGATGGTGTCGCCGGTCACCACTATTCGTCATTCTCCGGATTCTTACTTTACCCGCATAATCACGAACCAGCCATCATCGGGAAATAGAGAAGTTTCATAGAATGTATATTTCTTTTATTATTTGTAAACGAAGCAAAGTTTATATAAAAACATGAATATGAATTGATGCTATGTTTCACAAGTAAACAAAATTGTTAACTTGCATTCACATAATCCTACAGTTAGAATAAGCTGATATAACTGCAAATCGGCTCTTCCAAGTCTTGAATGCAAGTATCATATTCTCTTGTATTGGATAATGTAGACACCCTACTTGAATGAGTTTTAAAGAGAAATTATGTGACATCCAAGAAGATAATTCCTTGCAAGAAAGTTAGAACACGTCCTATTTTTCTACAAGTTTTTTGCTGTCAAGACACTGATAACACCGGTTTGACACAAAACATGTGCCCCGAAGGTGTGATAGTGTTGTTTTTTTTATATTATTTTCTGACTTTTTTGTTACTGATTCAGTGTTCATGATCAGAAGAACAGATCAACACACTGATGACTGATACACAGAAGAGCAAAAATTTTTTTTTAAAAAAATCAGTTTTTCAAGTAGTCAAAATGGATTTTAAATGATCTTGTTCATTTATAGTGAATAACTTTCATCAAATAAAAAATTTGCATCAATTTACCAGCTCAAAAAATATTTTCCTCACATTTTCTATCATTTTAAAAGAATGTACACATTTCAATTTCATTTACTCCATTGTTTTTAGCTAATTGCATCATTTTCCCGCTTTTTTATTCACATATTTTACAGAAACATGATAGTATTTCAAAGACAAAGGTATAAATCGTGTGCAATCTTAATTAGACATTTCAGTAAAAATTGTGCCAGATTAAATATTGAAAGGGCCATTTATTTAGCTCACCTAATTAGGCCGTGTCTACACCTATTCAAGTTTCTTACATGTTACATTTAGATAAGCTAAATAAATGGCCCTTTCAACATTTTTTCAGGCACAATTTTTACTGAAATGTCTCATTAAGATAGCCCAGGATTTATACCTTTGTCTTTGCAATACTATCATGTTTCTGTAAACTATGTGAAAAAAGCGGGAAAATGATGCAATTAGCTAAAACAATGGAGTAAATGAAATGCGTACATTCTTCTAAAAATTGAAAAAATGTGACAAAAATTTATCCTGATGCAAATTCTTTATTTGATGAAAGTTATTCACTAAATGAACAAGATCATTTTAAATCCATTTTGACTCTACTAGTACTTGAAAAAGAGCTCTTTTTAATTTTTTTTACAATGTATTTTTTTTTGCTCTTCTCTGTATCAGGGTACTGTTTTGTTCCTTTGGCCAAGACATTGTAAACATTTACTGAAATTCAAAGGGCATGTACACTGATTCAACAACAAAAAGTCAGAAAACAATAAAAATAACAGCACTATCAAACCTTCGGGCACATGTTTTGTGTCAAACTTGTGTTATCAGTGTCTTGACAGCCAAAACCTTGTAGAAAAATAGAACCTGTTCTAATTTTCTTGCAAGAAATTATCTTCATGGATGTCACATAATTTCTCTTTAAAAACCATTCAAGTAGGGTGTCTACACTATCCAATACAAGAGAATATGATACTTGCATTCAAGACTTGGATAGGTGTAGACGGGCCCCATACAAAATTTTCTCTTTTCTCTCGGATAAAATCACACTGTAATTTCTTAACGTTTTGCAGAAATCACGACGAGTGTCGACAATTCGGTGTCAATATGATTGTAATCGCTTAAATTTTGAAACATTTATTTCATCATTTCTTGTTAAAATAGATTCATGTAATGAAAAAAAATATTTATTTGATGATAATTTGTTTTTACAAACCGAAAGTTTTGCACTGTTGTAAACGGTTGTATATTAAGCAGTACATATTCTAAAATGAATTCCAATTGTTCGGAAAACACTTTCTGTAGAATATTAATCAGATCACAATACAAATTATGAAAGTTTACAAATGGTGGTATTTTGCTTTTGGTATTGATATTGTTTAACCAGATATAGGCAGGACCTTTCTCACAACCAAAACCTGTTACGCACACGACTCAGTTTTCGACATTACCTTTCAAGAGTGCCTTAATGAATAAGTACAATGTATACAACAATTATTTCGTAATTACTCGTATATGTCTTTCTGAACTAAGTCACCCACAAGATGAGTCAATTATATAATATAACTTTTGTAGAATACCACAGTCCAATATATATAAATTCAAAGTTAAATAAAACTGAAATTATATTTATTTAGAAATGGGGGACCGCTCAGACAGTATGAAAATTGGCATTTTCGAGGTAGTACAATCAAGGTTACATCCCAGTACAAATATATGGGACTTTCATTTACACCAGGGTTATAATGGCGTGCACAACGTTAAATACTTTCTATTTATAGTTATAAAAAACCATATGGTTATTTTCCGACAAATAAACTTTTCATTCTGGTTGATAGTATGGTTAAACCTATTATATGCTTTGGGTCTCTGATATGGGATATGAATTCGTTGATTCTATCGAAGCAGATCAAAATAAATTGTGTAAAATCATTTAGGTGTAAAGAGAACAACAAATATATGCATAATTTTTGGAGAATATGGTTTTGGATATGTACAAGATATTGGAAATATAGACATATTTATCTTAGCTTTTCGTCAACGACTGAAAGATTGTTTTGAAAACAACGGCATAATGATATAAATATTGCGTCCCGTTGTTACCATTGTAAATTTTTTAGGAGTCAACGATTCCAAGAAAATATATGGTTGCTCTTGCAAGGTTTCTATGTTCCTGTCATAACTTTTTCGATGTTCCTGTCATAAATTAACAATTGAAATGGGAAGACAAAATTAAGAACATGTTTAGTTTGATTTAACCAAAATAATGTATCTGCTATTAGTTGTTAATTTTGTGACTTTTCAATGTTCTAGGTATAATGATATTAGAATTGGTTACCTCTATAATTGGTATTCAAATGGAACAAAAAAATAATTATTTTGATTCGCTGATGAAACCAATTTAAATCATTTTTGTTGTATTTCACTTGATTCTTGACTTATTTCTTTCTAATCTTATGTACATGTTATGTAACTAAATTCAATACATGTATACAATATTGTACCTATATTGATGATATTGATGTGTATTTTTGGTCTGAGGCCTTTATTTACTTTAATAAAGTTGAGTTGAGTTGAGTATCTGAGAAGAATATAATGCCTGTTTCCAATACATAGTAATGGAAAATAATCGTCATGGCCTTTCCAATTTTTGACCTCAGGTACTTTATATGTGTTTCCTATATTATACTTTTTGTAGACATTTAATAGAATGACAAGAGCACCTTGATAATGATAAGCAAATGTTTTTAACATATTTTAAAACACCAAAATGCATTTATTTCAATAATTGTCTCGTATTTTACGTAATACTTTAATTGTCTCTATCACACAATACAGTTTTATTATTAAAAATTCAAATTCATAAAGTCTTTATCTATTAATAAACTTTAAATTCCATTTTTAACGTTAAAAAAGGCCGTCAAACTTTACTTTCATTATTTGAATCTGATTTGAAATATTGTATTTCAAAGAGGAAGAGATTGAGTAAAGGATATTTGAAAATTAGGCTGTAGAAAATGCAATCATAATTTAAGTTGTTCTAAGCAAGATTGTTCCTTCAACACCGAAGGAACTTTCCATGTACCTAACTCGAGGACATCTACGTGGGCACTTTTTGCTGATTTTTCGTTGTAGATAAATTCGTTTGGATCAATATTCGTATGGTATATATCTGTTTTGACACCAGACAACTGGAGGTATTGCAAGGTACTCATCTGATAGTTTGACCCTCAAAAGATAATTGTTTTATTGAATCGAAATTGTAAGATCATACATTCTGAATGGTTTTGACATCTTGGTGAGGTTTAATATCGTCTCGTCTCAGTAAGTTTCAACAAATATTATTTTTCCTACTCGTGATTATGAGACGAAAAAACAGTGCAACAGCAAATATTTGGCGTTTGTTAACATTGTGGGAGATTTTAGACAAATACCTAAATAATTAATGTTTTTGCTGTTTCATTCAAATCAATATTCCAGAGTTTCAACAGCTTAATTAGTGTCCATCGAAAGCACGCTGGTAAATATATGTCATAAAATTTTATTTACAGCATGCTATTTTACCACCATACATTTTTGATTCGTGTTTTAAATTTGAGCTGGTGTCAGGGGTCATGGGTAATACCTAGCATTACCGATTGTCGTGTGTAATGAGGTTCAATCAAAGCGACCATTCAACTTTTTTGCGTTTGTGAACACTTAGTGGCTTTAATATATCTCTGTATATTCTATTTAGAAAAAAAAGCACAGTCTAGCCATAATTACTGAACATGACCTCACGATAAGAGATTTGAAAATTATAGTATCATAACTCTCTTATCAGATATGAAGTGTAACTGCAATTTTCATTTTTTCAACGACAACAGTATGGCGTTCGTTCACCTTTTCTTAATCATCGGTCTGGCAACTTCAGCCTCGTGTATTGAAGAAACAAACAATGTTATCGAGAGACTAGCTCTTCGGCTTGAAGCTACGGAAAGAGAATACAAGAGGGAAATTTCAGCAATGAAGGAGAAGATGGCAGTTATGGAAGACAACTTTCTTAAAAAAGAAAAAGAGATGATTCAGAAAATAAACGAATTGGGAGAAAAGTTCGAAAGAAATGACGATGTCATCGACTCTGAGCAAAATTCCGAAAGCGAAGCATTGAAACAGAGAAGGTCGTTTAAAGGTAATGTTTTGAAAAAAAATCATATTTCAACGTTTATTATATTATTAAGTTTCATTGATATACCGATATCTGATATGTTTATGTGCTGGGATTGACACATTATTAACGCGTTTGGAGCTCCATATCCAAAGTGTCTATGAATTTTACTGGGGCAACGGTTGCATATGGAATGTTTTGTTCTTTTCTTATTTAAAGTATTCAATGTATCCTGAACCATAATGAAACATAATCATGTTATAACTTCCATATTTATACAATATATAATATGTATTACTAGTAATTATATAGCAATGACAAAATACCCTTGTCAGCACATTCAAACATTTCAACAGTGTTTGCAGGCTGGTGTTTGCATTCTTTAATCATGATGTAAGCTTTTCAAAATAGTTCTCGTATTAACTTTATAATTTTGTTTTCCTTTACATTATTCCGATCAAAGAACAACTTGAACTTACCATTGCTTTCACTGTTTGAAATAATTTGGAACGTGTATTCAGAGAAATGATCCTAATCAAACACTATCGATTGTTTGACTGCGTGGCCGAGTGGTTAATACGTCGGACTAGTATTCTTTCTATTGCTGACCGCGTGGATTCAAACCCTGTCAGGGGCAAGCCGTTATTTTCTTAAGCAAAAAACATTACATTAATTGCTTAGTACTGGTTGGTCTCAGGAACGGATTCAAGAGTCATTCAATTAGCTTGCAGCTTCCAACACAATCGAACTTAAAATCAGTTAAACCCTAACGTCAATGAATTGAAAATAAAATCACTCTCTTCATTGTTGCACATTTCAACAATGAGGTTTTTTGTGCTACACTTAGAAGCAACTGTCAATTTTCAAATCCACTTTTAGCACGATCGAAGGTAGACAGAATGTCAGTAACGTCTTTGTTCATGCAATATAACTTTAAACATTGTAAATACAATGTATTTTAATGCTTCCTGGTGGGAGTTTATTAGGCAGGGTGTTTCTGCAATAGTTTCTTCAATGGCATCTGTCTAGGTGTTTTGATGTTCAGACACCACCGCCAAAGTAATATTATATATATGCAAATTTTATACAAATAACTAACATGTTCGTGAAAAAAAAAATCCTCTAGATATAGAATTTTATTTTATTTTATAGAAGTCCGTGACGCAGTTGAAACAGAGGTCGCTTTCTATGCAACACACTCAAAGCATGACGTTACACATCTGGGCGATAATCAAATTATCGCTTTCAACCAGACCGTGACGAATATTGGCAATGCGTACAATGTGCATCATGGCGCGTTCACGGCTCCCGTTGATGGAACATACGTTTTCCACGTTACTTTAATGGGCACACTGCATGACGCTGCCAATAAATTTTACTCTGCCTTTATTGACGTCGATGACATAGCTTATTCGAGGTTTTGGATTGTCCCGTATGACCAATCATCGCATATGTTTGTAATAGAACTTAAATCCGGCAATGTTGTGTCCGTAAAAAATGCCCGAGTTGACGATGGCATTGTTGGACAACACTATTCGTCGTTCTCCGGGTTCTTACTGTATCAGCATAGTTACGCGCCGGCCATCTTTGGAAAATAAGAGAAAGTTATATCTCGATAATGTATTTCAAATAAGCAAATACAATTTGATTAAAACTAACGTGATCTGATTTTCTTTTAATAAGACACAGGTATATTTTTCACTTAATAGCAAACCAACAGACACATGCCCCTACAAAATAAAGCTGGAAAAATTAACTCAAACGAATGCATGTAGTTATTACATTGCTATTTTGTTACGACTGAATCATACACGAATCTACATAGTAAGGCCAATTGGTACCAACACGCTTGCAAATTTTCGATAGAGCACAATAGTCAGAATACTAAAACCGGGTGTGATCTTTCTGTTTAGCATGCGCTAAAAAATCTGTTTATTATCGAAATTCACCTTAGTGTCCTAATTAAGGAGGTTCAATAATATCTCTTAAGTCACGCGGTAAAACTTCTTTGTTTCCATGCTGATTGGGGTAATCAGCAAGTTTCACATTGAAGTGCACTACAAGTGCACTTGTTGTGCACACCAAGTGCACTTTATGTAACCTTTAGAGTGAACTCAGCTGTATATTGTATGCATCTACATTTTTAAAAATATGTTGTTTTCTTTTTCGTCCGGAAAGGAGCGCAAGTTGTAGAAGATTGGTGGTTGATATTTTACAATCTTTCCAATTAAATACATGCTCGTGTCAAGAACTAGAGTTATAATTTGATATAGTATGACATGAAATAGATAAATTCTCAACTAAAATGTCAGTTTTTGACCTTAACATGTTACTTTTAGCAAAGAGTGCCTTATCAAACATAAAACATTGGACAAAAGCACCGCAGTTTATTTATCTTGACATAAATAAGTCTTAAACACCGATGTATAATATATGATGTAATGACTTTTGTTAAATCTTTCATTCTTGTTTTTTTTCTAACTTGGCTTCTATTTTTTAAAGATTAATTTCATATTGATGCGGTCGCACTCACAGGCACATTTGCCATGTCAACAATAGTTGTAAAATAAAACAAAATTACTATCCAGCATCCGTTTACTATAAAAGTATACACTTTATATAGAAAACGGGTGCTGGTTATAAATTTTTTTCTTGATGATCAAGGGCTGATTACTTTACAATAACTTACCATTATTGGCATGGCAATGTGCCGTATGCATTTCGTCGCGCTGTTGTACTCGAAAAATCCTACTTTACGTTGTAAGTCTATCAATTTACTTACAACTAAGTTACTAGTGACCTTATCAGTAAGGTTTTGTGGTGTTCTACTTTAATTAAGGTCTTAGTCGTAAAGGGTTTACAAGGATGGAACTTAAAACTGCATGCGCATGTTTTCTTGTATTTAGTTTACTTACTTACCAAAATGTCAACGCATCTGATAAAGATGTATTCAAGATTCTTTTTGAACGGATTGATAGGCTTGAAATAAATGACGTTGCCAATAAACGTGAAATAGCTTCATTGAAAGCAGAAATAAAATCTTTGAAAATAAATGCACTGGAGACAGAAAACGGCCTCATTAGTGAAATCAAAGAACTGAAATCGAGGCTTCTTGATAGCGAAGTCAAACAGAGAGCAATGGAAAATGGTCTAGAGATGAATGACAGTGATACACATCCTTCTAAAGGCAGGCAATCTGAAGGTGATGCAGCAACATTCATTCAACATGCCAGCAAAGTAGAGAGGAAATCGGTTACAGGTTACTTGGTATTTTATTATAAGTAAACGTGAATATACGTCTATAGAATTTCAACGCTTAAAATTTTAACTTTTTATTGATACTGTGACTTGAATTTTCGTAAAAATATGTATGCAGTACATTAGTCGTGGAAGTTTCTATTAGAATACATCTACATGTATTTAAAATCATAAAATCAAATTTTAAAAAATACCTAAATTGGAGTTGCTATCTATGACTTCCCTGAACCCACTAAAAATATCTTTATCTGTTTAATTCATTTCATTTGGCTAGTTCGGGAGGCGGTTGAGAACGAAGTCGCATTTTACACCACCCACTCACAACACGACGTTCAACATCTTGGACAGAACCAAATTATTGTATTTGATCAGGCAGTCACAAACGTTGGAAATGCATACAGTTCACAGCGAGGCGAATTCGTCGCACCAGTTGATGGTACATATGTTTTCCACGTCACTATGATGGGCAAAGATGTTCATGCAGTCACAAGTAAGCACTTCAACGCCTATATAGATGTTAGTGGAAAGCCATATTCACAGCTTTGGGTCGAACCTTATCAACAGTCTTCGCAAATGTTTGTCATCAACTTAACTGCAGGCAAAATAGTGTCGGTCAAGAATCGTGTACAAGACGATGGCTTTATCGGACAACATATGTCAACTTTCTCTGGTTTCTTATTGTATCAGAACTATGGTTCGACTGGTAGTATTATAGGAAAATAAACTTTAATAAAATTGATTACATTTGTATAGCTTCTTTATTGCAAAATACATGCAGTTTTCCATGACACATTGTTATGCACCTATAATTTGGTCAGCAGAGTAATAAAAGCATTTTATTGAAACATATCTAAAATATTAAACTTCAAAAGTAGGCAAAATATATTTCTAAAATAAATATTTTAATATCTCTCTGTGTATTCTAGATTGAATGAGTGTCCATTTGCCCTTTCAGGAACATACAGTACGAACCCCCTTTGCTCTGTATTCGTGTGTGTTCTGGCTTTAAAAATCTTGCACATGCTGGTATTGCATGAGAAATGTCAAACGATATATATGAGTATCGAACCTGCTAGATGACCTGTGGTATAAATTCATGTATCTGCCTGAGCTGATACCAGGAACATAAAGCACCGTTCGGTTAGCTTAATTGGTGGATAATGGGAAGAATATGTTATTATTCTGTCCAAGCATCCAAGGTGGATCGTTAAAATTGAACCGACCCGGGTTCCAATTCCTGATGGTTCAGGTTATTTTTGTTGGGATTGATCATTAAATTCTTTCTACTGCCATGAGCAATATATACATCTGCACTGGCATATACAGAAGTACATTTGTATACGAGTTCCTTGTGGAAATGTAAGCACTACAGTACTGGTAAACTGCTTGACAGTCTGCCCATAAACAAAGCGGTGGCTGAACTATGCTCTGGTGAATTCGAAGTGGCTTAAATACTGTCGTGATCCGTAGTATAAACTGTAAAAACATCTTTAAATCAAAGCACTGAAAGTACTGAAGTATACATTGCTTGATAATATAATCCATTTTTGACATCAAAGCCATGTTGATTTTAACCTACTGACCTCGAAAACAATAGGGATCATCTTCTGACCAAGATCAATGTCCCTAACAAGTGATTCACATGCACCAAGGCTTTTTTCTTCAAAAGTTATTTATGAGTCAAGGAAGATGTAATGTTCCATCTATGTATTGCTAGGACAAGCTGATAGATGAGCAATAAAGAAATCATTTTTTGAAACACCCGTTGAATGGACTGCAGTATAGAATATTAAAACAGTCATATTGAGTTTCCAGTGATGCTATCTGATAAAATACATGATCTGGTTTGAACTCTATACAAAGTCAATTAATTGAATCATCCTACAAGACTTAATTACCAAATTACAGTACATCTATGTACTGTACTTTGATGCATTGATAAATATATTCTGGTGTGTTGTATTAATCTCTACACATTAATTTTCAAATGCATTACTTTATCGTTAATTAATAAAAATGACATCTATAATCACAACAATTCAAATGTACAGTAATATTTTCATTATTCAATAATTGTTACATATAGTCTTCATGAACAACCTTTCCAAGAAATCCATTTATATTGGACAGCAAGTTAACAAGGGTTTTTCCATAATCAGGTTGTGTTACCAACTTCTTAACTTTAGATGAACCATTGAGCTAAAACATTTTTTTTTCTATTTTTGGCTACTGTGACATACTTCTGATTTTCAACCAAGGTGATCCATGTTCAAACTCGAGCAACACCTGTCACACACATTCTTACGATGTTGTTTGACATTTGGGACAAAGGGTGACCAGTAGAGTGTTAACAAACTAAATGACCAGCAGATTGTTAACAACTGTAATGTCAGCATCGGATACACGTGGTTGATACCTAACTGATAAATGTAAATGGTTCGGCCGTGGGTATCCGACGATGCTAAATGTGGACAGACCAGAGTTGACATAAGATGGATGGCCGACATTCAACAATCTAAAACCTCACCTAGCCTGGGATTCAGGCGTTGATAGCTTTTGCTTATTCATAACATTTTTTTGTTCATAACATTTGCGCTTGATATTCCGTATTCGTTCGTCGTTTTGATAGTGTCGATTTTGCCAAACAGAAACCCTGAGCTAGCCAACCTATAAGTTTCACCACTGACTTTTTCATACTGTACTTATTACAAAAAATAACTGACATTTTACAAAGGTAACAAATTCTATGTCATAGTTATTCATTTAAACGATTGAAAATATATTTAGCAGCATTTTTTAAAAAATATATCTAGTATTTTATTGCAAGTAAAATGTGTTGTTTGTTTATTTATTTTTTCTATGTTTTTGACGCTAGGCAGTATCATAGCCGATAAACAATTTCATACAATGTTTATTACAAAAATATTACTGATATTTTACATTTCTTACACATAAATTATAATGTTATAATCATTCATTTAGACGGTCAAAATTTTATTTAATAGTTCTATTTTTGAAATGCTCATTTCATCGCAAGTAAAATGTGTTTTTTTTTTTTTATTTTGGGCTTTTCCATTTTTTTGATACGTAGCCGAAAAACACTTTCATGCTGTATTTATAAAAATATAAACATCACTGACATTTTACATTGGTAACATAAGAAAGTAATAGTTATTCATTTAAAAGGTTGGAAAAAAATAGCGGCTCTTGTTTTAACTACGACTATTTTAATGCCCGTAAAAATGTGTTTTCCGGCTTTTCCATGTTTTTTTTGACGCTAGACTGTAACTTTGCCGAAAAACACTTTCATATCGCATTTAATACAGAATAGAATCATTCTCTAATTTACACTGGTTGCAAAAGAAAGTAAATTTTAATCATTTAAAGGGTAGAAAAAAGTAGATAAAACTTATTTTGTTGGAATTATACCAATTGTATATATCATCGATTTAAAACTGATATTATTGAACCCATTTCATCAAATAACCGACAAAAACCAATTTCATCAAATAACCATCAAAAATGGTTTATATTGCTGAATTAATATTTCTTTGTATTTTAAGTGTTTTTCGGTATTTTTTTGGTGTTTTTCGGCAATTAATATAAGCAGATAAAAATATCATAATGTATTTATTTCTTAATGCTTACACTGATTTACAGTTTCAAATGATTATTTCTTTCTCGTCGAATCTTGCCACATATGCCTATATTTAGCTCCATACGTCAATATCCCAAGTTCGACGAATTGTAAAGGGTCGAACGGTCGAGCGGCCGAATCTTTATTTTTACCGTACTGAATCAGGCAATCTTCGCTGAATTTCGAAACATATTTCTTTTCAAAAATCTAAGGCATACAAAAGTGAAAGGAAAATCATGTGTAAAAAGGTATTCAAAAGAATAGCTTACGTAATTTTTTATTTTTCGAAGTCACGATAATTGCCAGTTTTAAAAAAAAAAAAAAAAAAAAAAAAAACACATTTTCCGGTATACGCTGGTAAATTTTGTGACGGTGCTCCATACTTATTTTGTAAAACATTTAGGGCAATTTTATTGCATAAATGTAAATCGGGAATTTTATTTGATTTAAATATCTATCTGAGATGTTTCGTCCCATTTATATAATACACCGATATACACTTGTAGAACTAGCAGACGACATGCTATTCTTATCATTGCGTATCTCACTGTATAAATCGCATGTAAAATGGTCTGACATATGGTAGTTTTAACAGTTAATATAAATACTTTGGAGTCAAAAGATGTATTGAAGTTTACATTTTGATGAAGCTAAGATCCAAAGCTTTCTATTGGTGTAATACATTTTAAAATCGGACATTTAATCACAAACACACTAGCGGTTTAAAAAAGCTTATTTTGTATTGTTTTAGCATAAGCGCTGACGACTTTACTATATTTACGATGTATTCATTCATGCTAGCAAGCGCATGCGTATATGCGAAGTTTAACGCGTAGGTATAAACTACGATTTTATCAATGAACTGTTATTTTTTGTTTTCTTTAAAGGAATGTAGAGTCTATTATTTCATGAAAATGAACGATTTTGGAAATTTCAAAGCATTTAAACAACTTTGCAAAACACTATTATAATGATGTGTAGTCGGAATTAACGCTACTGCAGAATGAAGAACTAGTTTCTATAGCGGTTTTTATCCGGGAGTGGATGTTGTTCGGTAATGCATTAAACCTGTATCTTTTCTGAGATATAAGCTTATAACTCTGTATACATTGCAAGCAATGTATACAAAAAGTGATTCCTCGGAAAACATTAAAAACCCCAAAAAACATAAAATTTACCTTGTTTTTGGGGTTTTGGGGGGATAAAAAAGAAAGTAAACCCCCGGGCCAAGGTTTCGGGGGTTAAAATTTTAAAAAAAAAAAATTAAAAACCTCAAGGTTTAATTTAAATGTTTTAAAGGGGGAAACAAAAAATAAACCCTTGGGGAAAAAATAACCTCTTAGTAAGTTCTTAAAAGGGGTATTTTATAAGGTAACCGGGCTTATTAAAAACCCCAATTGGACGGGGGAATATGGTAGGGTTTTCCCCGGGATGTTGTAAAAAGGGGGAATTTGTAATTCAATTTTGAAGCCCCAAGTTGGGGGGGGGGAATAAAGGGGGGATTTTATTTTTTAAAAAATTTTCCCCCAAAACGAATCAGGGAAAAATTACGGACTCCCACCCTTTGAAAGAAATGCCTTGTTATTTTTTTTTAAATTTTAATTTTTTTTTGGGATGCTTAATATATTTTTGTATTTGAATGATTTTCGTGGAGACTCGCATGCAGGCCTACTGTATTCATGTTTTTTCGTTGGTTATTTCTTATGTTTAAAAATGAAAACGTTTAATTAATAACAGCCGTATTTGAAATACTACAATTTGTACGAAAATAAAGTTTAGATTTTTATTTTTACTATTATTATTATAATTATCATCATCATTATTATTATTATTATTATTTTGTAGAACTTTTTGAATAAGTTTGATTTGTAGTATCATTTAACGTATATTTTTTCACAGATGAGAGCGTTAATTGACCTCAGAAATTCACACACCCAAAATCTTATTTGATATTGATTTTCCCCCATCGCATTATTATTATATCTTTCATAGTTAAGGAGATTATTTGCAAACATTATCTCCTAATGTATATATATTTGAATTGTTACTTTACTTCAGTTCTATATAAGACAACGTATTAGAGACGACAACGTAGTACATAG